AGTCTTTAATCATAAAAAGGGAACTAAGAAGCTGAGATCAATAAAACTATTATTTTTCAAATATAGAAATGATGTATGCAGCCAAGCATAGTGGCACATGCCTTTAATCCTAGCACTTAGGAGGCAGATGCAGGAAGATCTCTGTGAGTTCATGTCCAGCCTGAAAAAAGAAATGGTGCAGCTTTAGAACACTGTAATTTGAAAGGCCTAAAAATTTCAATTTTCTTCATTTCAATGCCTAAGAATTTGAGGAAATACAATATTGTTTATTCTAAAATATTAATTCATATGTTCTTATTTTAAATTACCAGTGGGCTTGGGAAAATATTCAGTTAGTAGAATGATTTCTACGTAAACATGAACTGGAATTTGGAACTGCAAATCACATATAAAAATGCAGGTTTGGTGGAATGTACCTGTAATCTAGGTGCTGAGAAAGAAGAAACAGTAGAAAGATTCCTTAAAGGTTCATGGTCAGCTAACCTTCTCAAATGCATGATATTCAGGTTTGGTGAGAGATGCTGTCTCAAAAAATATTGCAGAGAGAGAGACTGAATTGGAAACACAGTGGCCACTACACACCACTGTATGCACCTCTACAGGCATACATGCATATCAATGAATAAGTACAAAGCACATGTACACTGCATGTAACCCTGCATACACACATGAAGTATAGTAATTCCAAAATTTACTATTTATGATATGAATTCCAGTTAAGTTTTTAACTTTATTAAAATAAGAAAATGAAAACATCATGGATACATGTAGAAATCATGTTTTTCCTTTAAGGTAATGTTTATCATTTTTGTTTCATATTGGTTAGAAAAACATAATTCTGCATCATATACTGTCATGATTTTATGTTCATTATGTTCCTCAAATCAGTCTCATATTGAGAAGTTAGATATTTCATTGTAGCTTAAATTATTTTCTCTTAGGATAATTTTTTGCTTATGTACACTTTCCTTTTGATATTAATGCTGAAGCAATTCTGTCATTTAGCATTTTGTATCAACTTTGTCAAATGTTTATTTTTTTCCTTTCAGTTTATTTTACAATACCATTCAATTCTACATATCAGCCATGGATTCCCTTGTTCTCCCCGCTCCTGACCCCCTTCCCTTCCCACCAGCTCACCCCCATTCCCACCTCCTCCAGGGCAAAGCTTCCCTGGAGGACTGAGATCAACCTGGTAGACTCATTCCAGGCAGGTCCAGTCCCCTCCTCCCAGACTAAGCCAAGCATCCCTGCATAAGCCCCAGGTTTCAAACAGCCAACTCATGCAATGAGCACAGGACCCAGTCCACTGCCTAGATGCCTCCCAAACAGATCAAGCCAATCAACTGTCTCACCTATTCAGAGGGCCTGATCCAGTTGGGGGCCCCTCAGCCTTTGGTTCATAGTCATGTGTTTCCATTCGTTTGGCTCTTTGTCCCTGTGCTTTATCCAACCTTGGTTTCAACAATTCGTGAATTTTTAAAGTTGTAAATGGCATTGTCTTCTCTGTATTTTACATTTTAGCACTTTTGACCTAATTTATTCCATGATATATATGATATAATCTAATTTATATACAAAATAACAACATTTGGGTAGAAGCTTTGCTATGTTTTCCATACATTTACTTATAGGATTTCAATTTGGGTCATTTAAAAAAAATTAACTGTAAATTATTTTTCATATAGGCTGTGATAGAAACAATGTATAATAGAATAAAAAGAAATGATGAAGTTTAATTAATAGCAATTAAAATAATTTGACTGTACTAAGCTTCTAGATATCTTCTGTTCAATCAATCTATCTGTACTGAAAACCTGATATTTCAGTGCATAGCTATCTTTATACTTTCCTATATAGGTATAAAAATAGCTTGTGGATTGAAAATGATATTATATTTCAAAAATCTTGAAAAAATTTTTGGTAATTACCAGATAAATTGTTAATATTTTTCCATATCAGTTTTCCATGTCTTTGTATCTATCATATATTAATCAATCATCTTCTTTTTCAGTTTTGGCTAATTTGTAAATAAACAGAAGCAGTATTTGTTTTCTGTAATGTCCATCAGTATTTAATAAGCATTAATTTTCTTTCTGAATATACACTCATAGTTGAGTTAACAATGGTAAAATATTGCCATAAGACTAGACTTTATTTAAATTTCACTTTTCCAATCGGCCACCTGTAGATTGCTTTGTTTGTCTCACATGCTCACTTTCCTTATTGTACCCCCTTTTCCTCCATGATTTCTGTAATTTCTCAGCCTTTGAGGTTCATATCCTTCACATATGGTTTTTTATTTTAATTTTTTGAGAATTTCATATGTAAGTTCTCTAGTAATATTATTTTCATTTTTATCCTCTTCTACTTCAGCTCCTCCGATGTCTCCTCCACACATCAAATTCATGGCTTCTGTTTTTCATAATTATTATTTTACACATACACACACAGGGGTTTATACTTTACATGGGATAATCTATCTGCCAATTTGTTTGTGGATTAAGCTGATTTAGGTATTCTCAGCTGCCATCAATTGCTTGCAGTACTTTATCTAGGCTTGGGACCTTATAAAATATTCCCGTTACACAAGACATCTTTATTGGTGTGATACTAATGCCGGTCTTGATTAGGCACACGTTCCCTGTCATTTCCAGAGGACACTGTCTTGCAGAAGCCAGCCAGGGCCTCTGGTTTTTACAACCTTTCTAGGCCCTCTACCACATTTAAAATTTAATAGACTTATAAAAGGTATCATGATTACTGTAATTTCCCACATCCTCTCATTTCCTTTCCACACATGTTAATCTCTAATCTCTAATTCTACCCACAATTCCCTCTTTAGCATTATTTGAGGTGAATAAGATTAACCAGGGCCAGCTGTGTGATCAATGACTTGAACTAAGCATGAAGAGCCCTTAGTGGGTTTAAAACTGTGGACAGTGATTGTGCTCTTTATACTTTCGATGCCTACAGACAATTATTCCTAGATTGTTCCACACTTTGGAATGTCTGAAGTATCAGCATGACTAGTGTCACATCACAAAATTTGAGCGAATGCAGTTTTGGTGATGCCTTGTTTTCAGCAAGTTTCTTACCTTTCCTAAGCAAGTTTGAAAGTATTTGAATAGTTTACCACTAAAGCATCATTTTTCCCTCGGAATAAGCAGTTTGTGCAGAAACACTTTAGGATTTCTCTGTTCTTATTCTTGTTTAAGTGACCATCACTGATATTCATAAAACTTAACAGATACTATAATTATAAATGAATGCAATAGTGATATTCAAATGGCAATTTTCTGACTATATCTTTTAACTACTTTCATTGATATTCTAGTATCAAAATATTTTTATCAACTAAGTCTAGTCTGGTTGCTTTTTTATGCAGTTAACACTTCTGCAGCATAGCATGATAGATTCTTACTCAAATGGTTGTAATACATCACTGTATTTTCATTTAGTCTGATCCTGGACATGTAGAATATAAGCATTTCATAAATTTCACTGTATATTTTGACATTTCTTAAATTTTATGTAACACTCATAATGATGAGTTACATAAAACTTTATATTCATCTGGTGCATGTCACAGATTTAGTTTCTTAACTATTTTAGACTTTTGACTCTATGCTGTATTTTTGTCTGGTTTTAATTTTTTATAAGAAAATGGTATGTTTATACCAATATTTGATCACTAGATACATTAATAAATTCAATAAGACCTTATTTATTTCTGTTTTTCTATCATATGTAAAATAAGTCATATATCACATATTTTCAATCATCTCTCAGCTATAATGTATTCATCAATCTGCTATCATCTGAGCATTAAAATACATTCAAATTTCATTGTTATACCATCAACTTATTATGTATGAATATTCAACAATATTAGGAGTAAATACTAATAATTCTACTCACTACAAAGTCATGAATGTCTTGCCATTTTTTACCCATTTGGATTTGCCGTCTTCCTATACCAGCCAGAATACCTCAATTCATCATTTTTTATCAATATTTTCTCACTTTCCTTGTCATACAATAAAACTGAAAATTGTCTCAAGATTCTTTATAGGAATCAGTGAGAAAAAATATGTAATTATTTCATAGAACTTAATATCTGTGTAGCTTTTGCTTATCTCAATATCCATGATGATAGCATAATTATATCATTGAATCATTATATTTAAAATGAATACAGAGGAAGAAACAGAATTCTGAATTATGGAATTTAATTCTACTGTATTTGTATTTCAGGGGACAGTTACAGTTTTTTATTGCCTTAATTGCTACTGCTTTATAGAATGAATTTTATCCTGTCTATATAAACCCCAATATTTTATTTGTTAATCTTGGCCTCCCAATTTTAAACATTTTGCAATGCATGTAAATGTATAATAGATAAGAAAGAATAATGACTGAAGTAACTTGTATTTGTGTTGGATTTATAAGTTGACTTGGTAAATATTACTTTCTTCTAAATTCTCTTAATCCTTGAAATTAATCTTTGAGTCTTTATCACCTTAGGAAGTCCTTTCAGACTTTTTGTTAAATATATTCCTAGATCCATGGCTCAGTGTTGAATATGTGAACTATTGATATTGCTAAAATCTGAATAAGTTGAAAGACATTGCAACATATGTGATATTATATAAAGGTAAAATAAAAATTTTATATTAATACTTCAAGAAAATCAGCCGCAGGCCACGCGTTGGTGGGCATGCCTTTAATCCCAGCACTGGGAAGGCAGAGGCATGCGGATCTCTTTGAGTTCAAGGCCAGCCTGGTCTACAGATTGAGTTCCAGGAAAGGCGCAAAGATATACAGGGAAACCCTGTCTCGGGAAAAAAAAAATGAAAATCAGCCTCATCCACATAACAGTCCTTTTAGTTTTTTAATTATATTTTGTAGATTTCATACACTGTACATAATTTTGCTATTTAATACTATAATTTAATACTCATGTCAATAACATTGGACAATTAGATTCTGTGGTCTTAGTGAACTTCAGGTCTGCTTCTGTGTCTTTGCATTCTATGGAACATACTAAGGCAGGCATACTTTGCTCCTATCCCTGTCAGAGACAAACCTTACAGCAAAAGCATTATGTTGATTATTCTGTGGATTTTTTCTTTTTCAAAGCAAGTCATGCAATATGAGTCTGAGAAATATGGAGGACGTCCTATTGCAGCTCTAAAGTTTCAGATGACTATATATTCCAGAAAAGAGATCAGGGAGTGTAAGACAGGAAACTCAGAATAATCACCCCATTCCAAATATGCTTGTCTTCTGTCCACGTTTCACATGCTACAAAAAGAAAGAATAAAGTGAGAAAAGAGTCAAAGATTAAATAAACACTTATCTTTGAAGTATAAGAATATCATAAATAGGGAAAGAAGAATGTCCTTTGAAAAAATAATAAGAGGGCAGAGGTATGATTGAGAGAGAATAGCTTCTTTTATCAAGCCTGATGACCAGAACCCATGCAGTGGAAGGAGAGAACCATCTTATGCAAGTGGTTCTCTAATTTTTTATCTTTGCCCCTACCCTCCCTTAAAAATGTAACAAATTTAAACATAATAAAAATAATACACAATTATCAATATACTTCTAAACAGCAGAAAAGGGATTCAGCAGGCAAAGAGAGTTGCCAGCCATCTTAATTGCCTTATTTAGGTACCCAGAACCTACACATTGAAAGGCAAGAACTGACTTGGCTGTTCACTGACCTCACTCAACCTGCAAGGCACAAGCACTTTTCATTTTTTCCAATAAATATATAAATATAAAAAAATGTAAGAACAAAATGGTTTAATTTTTTTGTCATTAAGGGTTTCTTTGTTGTAATTGAAAGTGCAGGTTTTATCTTAGATATCAAGTACAGCATATACTGTAGTTTACATGTGAAGCCATGGGTTTTGCAAAATGGAAGAAGGGAGGAGAATTTTTTCCATCCCCCAATCTCACCCTGCTTGAAGTTTCTCTTACAATTGAGACATCACAAAAGGGAGAGAGAACTCCACCCTTATTGATAACAAACCCTTAGCAACCAGCAGTTATTTCTGTGGTCCTGCCTCAAGGGCAAGAACACTGTCATCAGGCAAATAGCAATGCATAAATAGACAGAAAAGTTGTATACAACCTCTGTTGCCAAAAGAGAACCATTTGACACCTTTGAAAAATAAAGGAAAACTGAGTCACCAGAAGGAGACACATTTGAACACCTATGTCCGCATAGAGTGAGTGATCAGAAGGCTCTGGGGCCCCTTCTTTGCTTTGATTCCAACATTACAGTCTTTTGAATCTTTAATAAACAGAGAAAAGGATCCAATCAGCTAGCCTGCAACACAAAAATGGGATGTCTTGACAGGTTAAAGCGGGTTACAGAAAACAGAGCATACAGACTTTGGAGGTTTTTGAGTCCACACTGAAGTTACTGTGCCAGAACATGTCTCCTAAATCGGGGAGGAAGCCTTTTAGAAGATTCACATTTTGTTATGACAACAGAAATAATTATTGTGTGTACATGAATTTACATTCTCATTTGTGAAAATAACTAGTTTTGCTGTAAAATGCAGGAAAATTTACTAGAGCAAAAGTGTAATGATGACTGTAACATTATCAGCACAAATAGCCATTCAAGGACAGTAGGCTCTAGGGCTTGACTGTACCTTTAAATTGGAAAAAAACAAATACAGAGAGATTTTTTTTTTTTACTTTTCCTATACGTGTATTTGGAGTATATTTAAAAATAACACCTAGATGAATAAAACTGCAAACTTCAAAATAGAACGAAGATCTCATTCTTAATTTAGAATCTTTGTTTACTTTTCTTTTGTGATCTTTTTTAAAGTTTGTCTACACCAAAAAGGCTAATACACACATACACACAAACATAATTTAAGACTATTCACAAAATTCTTTCAAAATTATTAAAGGTAGGTAATTATAGGAAGTAAAAATAATTTGTGGCTTTGACAATGGATTTAAAACATACATTTCTGCTGAAATCTTTTGTATGATGGAAGCTACTTTTAATTCAATAAAGGTATTTACATCAATTAAATATATTGATATATTAAAACTAATAATTTTATTAGCAAAAATTCAGTTAGAATCAATTAATGAGAAAACATTAATCTTACTTTTAAAATATTAATATCCTGAATTAAACATTTAATATAACTGAATAGATATTGTATCTACTTATATAAATCACACATGCTTTTACCGTAGTATTTTGGCCTTCTTTGAAACTGTCGCTGCGTTTTAAGCTACAGCTTTCCTTTTTTTTTTTTTTTTG